ATGCTGCTACAGGAAGGCGGTGCAGTAGGACAAGCTTGGTAAGTAAAAGAAATAACAGGCAGCACCAAACTGCCAAAGAATAAAATAGCAATTGAGATGATGGAGATTCGCCGATTCACTATCATTATTAAATTACCGTAGATAATATAAAAGAAAACATTTTTCTAGATATTTCGTTTGATAAAAATAGCTTTTTTATAAGATTATATAGATAGTTTCAGTGACATTTTAAAAAAATAATTTTTAACATTTTCATAAAATGATCGATTTCAAATTAGACATTTTTATTTTAGTGATTATTTGTATGAAAGAACAGATTTATTATGAGATGAATGAGGCCTAGGGTTGTAAAATTACCGTAATTTTACGTAATTTTGTGTAATTTTGCGTAACATAGTTTTCCATGTATAAAATATGTAAGAATCGATTTGATCTACTGTAGTTCAATAATACTAGCTAAATTTTTCATAGTACCTGTACTATATATTACGTGTAAAATTTACATGAATTCCATATTACTGAAACTTATGTGAAATTACATATCGGTATATTGTAAAGACGATTGATATTTGTACACCGGTGTAATGGATACGTATCACTTCACCGACGGTCATTTCGTAGACATAACATTTCACCGACAAAAATTTACCGACAATTATTTCGCCGACAAGTTTATTTCACCGACAAGTTATTTCACCGACAGTATATTTCACCGAAGCTCATTTCAAATACAAACTTTTTTTTTATAAATCCCACCACCTTAACTCTAATTCTAACCTGACCTTAACGACAATGGCCAGAATTATTTTGTCGGTGAAATGAGCTTCGGTGAAATAAACTGTCGGTGAAATGAACTTGTCGGTGAAATAAACTTGTCGGTGAAATAATTGGCGGTGAATTTTTGTCGGTGAAATGTTATTCTACGAAATGACCATCGGTGAAGCGAGCTGAACCGGTGTAATATACACACATATATTGATATTTCGAAATTTTGATTATAAAACCCACTTCGGGGTTCTAACAAAAAAGATTCCTTGCAAAATTTTAGTATAAACTATAACCTCCTCTAACCCTAAAGCTACCCTCACCCTAACCTTAAATTATACTAATTTTTCGTTTACAATTTATATATTGTAACCGTTGTTGGGAGAGCTTATGAAAATAATATGAATAGAAGGCCAATTTAACTCCAACGGTGTACGTTGAGATGAAGGCAACTAGAAAGTCGAAGTGGGTTTTTTATATTTGTACCGAACAGAAGAGACAGAAGGATGCGATAACGAATACTCTAATAATAATGGGGATGATAAGGGGGCGATGCAACTACAGGCGATGCTGTAAACAATGGTGAGTAAGGGGGTGATATCAGGAACAATGACGATAGTTTAAGGATATTTAATTAAGGGGGATGGTTTCAAGGGTGACAATTAGGACAAAAGCGGACAATGATCAAGTAACACTGGGGTTACTTTTAGTTTATGTGATAGATTATCGAAGTCAAATAATAGGTTGTAGGTGGCGTTCCCTACTACAATCCCGCAAGTTACTGATGGGTATAACGATAAATAATTCAGAATCCGAGTCTTAATAATCCAAGTCGAAGTTACAAGTCAATTCAATCCGTCGAATTGAGTCTCGAAAGGGTTTATTAAAGTTACAAGTCAGATTCAAGAAAAACAATATACAAGGAATACTCAGATAAGTATATACTTTATTCAAGCGAGAACGAAACAATTATTTAAGGATGGGATGGTTTTCTTTATTAATCATCAAAGTAGAACTAACAAATTCTAAATCCTACTGCCTGGAACTTTAGGTTCTTAAATACATTTTGAATTTTGGCTACGTTTACTTCCCAACTGCTACGTTTACACCACTTCTGCTACGTCTACGCAACCACGGCTACATTTACACACCCATTTCTAAGTTATTTTCTTGTGATTACGCATGTAGGTGATTGTAACAAGTTTGAACGGCTACATTTACACCGCTACAGCTACATTTGCTTAGCTATGGGGATGTTCACTTTCCCATTTCTTAATCATTTCCTTGTAAATATACAAATAGCCTTCATAACAGGTTCAAACGGCTATGTTTATGGGGTCCGTATTATTTCACCGACAATCACTTCACCGACAGCTCATTTAGCCGACATCACGCCAGGTGAAATTTAGTAAAAATATATACCTGCAACTAATCAAATGCCTAACCCTAACCCTATGTGATGTCGGCTAAATGAGCGTTCGGTGAAATGATTGTCGGTGAGTTGATCGGAACCCATGTTTATGTACCCACTGTTGCGTTTTACATGCCTTGAGTAACATTCATATGATTAAGCCACCAAGCCACCCATCATTACTATTTTAGTATAAGTTATAGAACCTCTAAAAGAAATTAATAAATTTACCAAAATTGGACATTGTTACCAACATGGATGGAGAATTTCAAATAACTATATATATATGGATAATTTACCGAGAAAAATAGTTTTATTTACAAAAAGTTAAAAGAAAAATAAAAACTAAGTTTTTAATTCGTTACATATGCCTCCTCTTGTGATTGAGCCCCTGCAAAATCTGCTAACCGCAAAACTTCATTAATTTCTTGCTAAACAATAGATTGAGCTTCCTTCTTCAAAAGGAGAAAATCTTCATCACGGATTCGATGTAGAACATAAGGGGTTATACGACAAGATGAGTAGAGACAAGAAGGGCCACAAATAGAGTATAGAATATAAGTACGTTTGGCTGCTAAAATAATTTCTTTAACTTTGGTCAGGGGTAATAGTTTTTTAACAATTTTCTTAGCTTCTCTACCCATGACTTTTCTTCTAACAATGCTCCCAAATGATAATGATAGGGTAGCTGAGTACTACAATCATTTCTCTCATTTGAGATCTTATTGCAAATAAAGGTTACTTTATTATCCCAGTTGCGCCCAAAAGGCACTTCCATTTCATAAACGGTTTTACTATCAGTACAAAGATCGTTGAGAAATTCAGTTATTCTCAGATGAAGCTTATTGGCATTGTTCTTAGTACAGCATAGGTTTGAGGTCCCTCTTGATATTCAATACAGTGGGCGGAGATGTAATAAGTTTCTTCGATATGAGCTCTCTCCAATTAACCTTTGAGGAAAGCAAGAGTCTTCTTAATATTGGCGGAAATTTCAGCAGAATCCATTATTATTTTATTTTATTTATTATTACTATTTATTTTTTTTCTCTTATTCTTTTCCTTTAACAAAATCCAAGAGGCAGCTTTTTATAAGAGTCGTGGTTAATATACTTAAACAGAAACCGAATTTATTGCCAAGAATGATGACACAACAACCAGTTTCTGTAATATCTCTTTTTAAGCATGTGACTCTCAATTGTTCGTAATTTGTACATTCTGTTGGGTAGTACTCATGGATATAATAGGGACCCAAAATTTTGGGCTTCAATTTAGCACTGTGCGATGTAGCTAATTTACTCTGATATAAAAGAACCTGATCGCTGATCTCTTATGATTCTATTTTATTCCTTTTTTCGTAATATTCTTTTTGCCGATCCTGTGCTTTTCTTATTTTGTCTATAGCCTGTTGACGGGCTACTGTTAATTCCCCATATATCTTTTCTAACTGTCAGCATATTAATGACTCTAATTTCTCTTCTGTATTAGGCTTAATCAAGGAGGTCACAAGCCTAAATTCGATTGGAAGGACAGTGTTACACCCATACATTAGAAAAAAGAGCTCATGTCCTGTAGTAGTTACGGGTAGTACAATAGTCAAAAAAAGCTAGTGCTACATATTCATCCCAGGTTTGTTCAAACCGATTTATACATTTATTTAATACTCCACAAAGAGTACAGTTAAACCGTTCAATCAAACCGTTAATTTGTGAATGATTTGCTGTGGACTTATAGTAGGTGATATACATTTTCTTGCAGAGGGCATCAACTACTTGATTGCAAAAATAGGACCCTCTATTGGATAATAATTCTTTGAGGCAACTGTGCCTACAAATAAGATCTTTGAAAATTAAATCAGCAATAGTTTTGGCATTAGCTTTTTCAATAAGGTAAGCTTCGGGCCACTTGGTAAGGTGCTCAGTGGCTACTATGATGTACTGATAGTTTTTAGTAGTTCGGGGAAGTAGCTCCACAATGTCGATTCCTACTCAGTCAAAGACCTGACCGATTTTAATAGGATATAAGAGTTTCCGTGTTTGTGGTCGCTTCTTTTTCTGACACTATTCACACGTTCAGGTATATCTTCTGATATCGTTCCCCATTTGGGGCCAGTAATATCGAGTAGCGATTCGTTGATACATTGTCTCAAATCCAAAATGTCTAGCAAGTGGATTATCATGTCTAAATAGGATGGCTTGAATTTTGTCTTCTTTTAAAACCATACAGGGGCATAAAGAAGCATGGGGGTTGGTCTTATAAAGTAAGTCATTAATTATGATATAATACCAGGTCTTGTATTTTAAATCTTGGACTTGCTTCTTAGTATATTGAGAAAGATCAGTGCCACTCTGTAGAAATTCAAGATAAGTATTATAATGTTCTGGGTCCATATTTTTTTCTATCTATTAATTTAAAATAGTTCAAATTTTTTTTTTTTTTAACTTTTTATTTATTTATTTATTTAAGGGAATAAATATTTCACAACTACAGAATAACGTAGAGATAACTACAGAATAATTTTTACTAATAATCACATATACTATAGGAAAAGTTTGGGATAATTATGGAATATTAATGGGGAGGGGTTGCCAGGATATCATAACCTGAACTGGATTAATGGATTTAAAAGATAAGTATATTGTTTTTTTTTTCTCTGTAGTATATTAATTAAACTAAAATATTTATTTAGATGCAAGACAAACTATCGACATTAGAATGGTGCTTCTCAGGTTTATGGACAGTGGCAAAAGAGTATTTCATTAGGGTCATAACCCATCGAGCTAAATGGTTTTAGAGAAGTTTAACTGCAAATAGGAACTTAAGGGCGGAGTGATCAGTATATAGGATAAAACAATTCCCATGCAGATAAGGTCAAAAATATCTAACAGCCTAGACAACGGCCAGACATTTCTTTTCCGTAACAAAATAATTTTTTTCTTCTGAGATAAGGCTGAGCTTGCATAAAAAATTACCTTTTCGTAATAATTATCATCATTTTGGGCTAGAATAGCACCAAGAGCTTGGTCAGAAGCATCGGTAAAGAGGATAAAAGTTTTAGAAAAATCAGGGTAAGCAAGTATCAGGGCCATTGTTAATTTTTCTTTAAGGTTTCAAAAGCTTTTTGTTGGTCAATAGTCTATTTATAATTAACACCTTTTTTAGGAGCTGGTTTAATGGCATGACAATATTAGTGAAGCCCTTAACAAACTTCCAGTAGTAAGATGCTAATCTCAAGAAGCCTCTAAGTTGTCTAATATTACGTTGAATCAAAAAGTTTTGAACTGCCTCGATTTTTCTGAAATCAGTAGCAATACCTCCTAACTAACAACATGACCCAAAAATTTTAATTCTTTCTTAACAAAGTGAAACTTGGTGGGTTTTAACTTAAGATCAGCAGAATTTAGTGGATGTAAAACTTCTTCTAGGTAAGTTGAATGGTCGTCAAAATTTTTAGAATAGATGTTGATATTGTTCAGTATATAACTACACATGTGCTGATTAGATCTTGAAAAATATAGTCTATCAGCCTCTAAAATGTTGTAGGGGTATTTGCTAAGCCAAAAGACATAACATTGAATTGAAAGATACCAAAGTGGTTGTAAAAGCAGTTTTGAGCTGATCTGATTCCTCAACTTCGACCTGCCAGTATCTACTAGCAAGGTCTAAGAAGCTGTACCAGCACGACCCAGAAAGGGCCTCCAAAAGATTATTAATGCGGAAAAGCAAATAATTATCTTTAATGATGACAGCATTTAATTTTTGATAGTTAACACAGAATTGAGTATTCCTGTCTTCTTTAAGGACAAGTATGACAGGTGAAGTCCAGAGGCTTTGACAAGAGTGGATGATGCCAGTAGAAATCATGTAACTGATTTCATCTTGAATAATTTTCTTCTCAGTGTGTAAATGTCTATATGGATATTGTTTAATCAGAAGAGCATCGGCAGTGTCAATTCAATGCCTCATGAGGTTAGTTCAGCCTAATGGCCCTTTTTTTTAGATAAAAAGATCCAAGTTATTACCCAGAAATTGCTGGAGCCAAAAATGTTATCTGAACTCCAGACTTCCAATTTGATAAGGATCCTGTCGTTCTTCATAATAATAATTGAAGAGGTCACTTATAGGGGAGTCTATGGCAGAGGCACTTGTAATATATCCTCGGAGGACAGGCTTAGCATTTTCATACTCAATATAAGTGTTTCCTGCTTCATCATAAGAATATTTAATATTGGATTTATTTTCCTTTTTTTCTTTCTTTATTTTTGCCCTCTAATTTTCTTTATCGATCACCTCATCCACGTCAGAGTTAAAATTATCTGTCTCAACTTTTGGTGTGCCAAAGTTCAAGTAGAAGTACAACTCATCATTACTAGAACTATCTAAGTCAGAGTCATAATAAACTAACAGGGGTATATTATCTAAATTAGGGAAAGGAACAAGAATTTTTCTATGTTGACAATTCCTAAAGGGCTAAACTGAAGAGGTGGAAGGGAAGGGCTCATTAACGCTAACTTGGAGAGGAGTTGGAGCCTTATGTATATGATGCTGGTGTGTTTACAGAGGGGATATCATTGTCTTTATTATTAAAGAATAGAGATAGGAGGGCGAATTGAGGAGGGAGTAATATACATCAATGGGAAATCTAAAATTGGAGTATTGGGAGGGCTGGGTAAAGGTAAGCAATTTGGGGTTTCTTTTTATCTATTTCAAAATACCCATAAATTTGATCCTCTAACTCCTCTTCTTCATATTCTTTATCACTATCTACCTCTTCATCCCTGATCTCTTCTTCTTCCACTTCTTCATCAATGTTACAAACCATAATATGGCAGTTTTTATCAAGAGGGACATGAGTGATCTTTTTGTATTCCACAAGAAGAGTAAGTTTCTTATCTTCCCAAATAAGGGTCATTTCCGAAGCTATCTAATCAATTCTAGCTTAGGCTTTAGAAAGCCAATTATTACTAACAATGGCTTGATATGATTTTGCATCTGTAACTATGACCACAATAGAGATTTTCATCACTCTGATTTTAAAGGAGAGTTGAATATTTCCTCTAGAGCCCTCTTACTTTCACTATAAACATTGATCATATTCATCGTAGAAGGACATTCAATCTTGATACCTAAATCCTGAAAGAGATGTGTTGAAACAACACTTCCGAATGAACCACTATCAACAATTAGGGAAATAGTTGTATGGAGGATCTGAGCATCATAGTAAAGGGTTTCTTAGGACTAATACTAATATTTGCTTTTACTTTTCTTTTTCAGAAGCCTTTTTTTTCTGTAGACTCTGACCTAATTCACCTTGCAACGCAGGAGCAATATGAAAGAGTTGGTCATAAGTAATATTAGCAGTATTACAATACTGTGGCCTTCTTAACAGCAGTACTATAACAATGACATGGCTACAGAGATCTTTCACAGGTTTATAGCAGTGTCCAACAGGTAAGTATAATTTCTGCTTCTTGGAGAAACTATACCCTTCTGTTTGTGGCAGTTCGGGCAGACAATAGTTTATAGATAAAATATATGTTTATTAAAGATAAATAAGATAGGCTATCCTTAG